ATAGCAGCACTGTGTCTTCTAATAGCAGAAGTTGCAAATATCTTTTGCATCTAAACTCATTTAAACCAACGAGATGGCAGTTGTAATTACTAATTCATGTCACTGAATCCAATATGCCTACTCTACTGTAAGTACCACTGTCTGGATTCCCACTTCAGCTAGGTACAGTGGACCCTGACAACATATAGCTCCAATTGGTAACAGGTTTCTATATTATTTCCCTCATAAAAACTAATAATGTATATTACTGCCCCCTCCTTTTGGTAGCCATTTTGTTACAGGTGTTATTCACTGGTGCTGTAGTTTTGCTTCCTAATCCTGCCAGCATCTTAAAGTCTCCACTTGTTCCTTCTACTCAGATGGACAGTAAACAATAGCAGTGTGTGTGTGCGTGTGTGTTGTTGTTGTTGTTCCTAACTTCCCTACCAGGGTGTAGGGTTAGATTTTAATAGAACATTTCTGATCCTGGAATAAATTCTTTTTAGGGAAGCCCAGCTTCTTTTTCCCTAAGAAGCTGGGCTGAGGCTGAAGGCCAGGTATCTCTGCATGGAGAATTTGCTGAGTATTTTTTCCCTGGGTTTTCTTTTTGTCTCCCCCACCGCATGGCCTGGGGGGGGGGCCTAGGGGGTGGGACTTTCTGCTTTAAAAGAGCGTGTCTCAGGACCTTGGGCCTTTTTCCCTAGGAAGCTGGACTGAGGCTGAAGGCCAGGTAAGTCTGCATGGAGAATCTGCTGAGTTTTTTTTCCTGGGTTTTCTTTTTGTCAGCCATGGAAGGCAGCCCATCTAGAAGAAGGAAAACTCCGCTTTCAAACCTCCACTGCCTTGTGGCTATATCCATTCATGGAAAAGGCTTCAGGAGTTAACCTAGAGGCAAAATCCGGAGCTGGAGTCCCGAAGGCAGTTCTTGTCGTTCTGCCAACTTCTGCGACGTTGCTGAAACCAGTTGTATTGGCTCTTGCCTTTCCATTGAACCATTTCAGCAATGTGGAGAGGGGGGTCTGCTGCTTGGGTAACAGCCTATCCTCCATATTACTTTACCCAGGCTTCATTCTCTGGAGGGGACACTCCTCAATTCAGAGCATGTTACCATAGTCTTTTGAGACTGAAGGATGCCTATGCTATGCTAGGAATAAATTTCTTAAGTGAAAACTTTGAGCAGCACAGACACATGAGTTGCACCTTGCAGTATGCAACACCCGTGTTTTTAAGATACAGGCTGAAGTGACAACTCCATCTCCTTTGTGAATAGGAGTGGTTTCTGAGGTATACAGCTAGAGCTAGCAGTTAGATGCTGGTCACTTTTGTTCTGTTGAGTCCCAGAAGTTGTATAGGTGTTGACTATTTGCTTTGTTGGTTTATGTGGTGGTAGATTGTTATTTAAGAATAAAAATGAAAAAAAAACTTAATTTGATTAGTTCAGTGAATACAGACTTCTTTCCTCCAATATCAATATATCCATTTCCAGAACTAGAGAATTTGCCTAAAGAGGGATCAATCAATCAATCAATTAAAAATACCCACTGATCCATATCCTCCTGTTCTCACTCAAAACAATGCCACTTTGATTCACTCTTCCTGTACCTTCATGCATCCCATGTAAATAGAGGCCAGCTGCATTGTTTGATCCCCTACAGTTTAAAAAAAGACCACCTACCTAGGATTAAGCCCATTAAACACAGTGAGACTGTTTCCCTTCAGTGGGACGGATGAATAGAGATTAGGTGACTGTGGATAGCACTGTGCTCCAAATCTTCCGTTTGTACATGTTTACATGATCTGCCTTTCTTTCCAGCTTTTCCATACCACTGGGTGAAGTGTGATGTTGGGAATGAGGTCGACAGTGGGATAATGCTACATGTTTATTTGGGCTGAAATAGAAGTACAAACATGCATCAGTGTGATCATGTTTTGAGTGAGAACAGGGTGCTGAGCTGTGCTTTGCATTTCTTTTCTTTTTTTTAGAGGGGGAGGAGGTATACTTACAAGAACTGATTGATTTCAACCTATGTATATCTGCCTTTTGCAAATTAAAATAGCATGCTTCCGGTGATCCCAATTGCTCACTTAAATCAGTGGACAATTTGTAACACCCTCTGTATGCTATTGAACTACAGTTCTCCAGAACTCCTTATAGTAAAGATTATGCAAATTACAGTCTAGCAATACCTGGAGGTTTCCTATTTCTTGCTTTATCGCTAATCCTTGTAACAACACATCAAGGTAGGCCAATATTATTTATTTACAGTAGGACCCCCTTTATCCATGGGTTTAGTATCTGCTGATTTACTTATCCACAGTTTGAAAATATTAGCAATATTATAAGAAAAATCATAGAGAAATGTATTTCTACAATGCCACTACCAGAAGAGAGGGAGCCAGAGGCCACATGATGTATAGCGTTTCCCATTAAAATAGCATCCTACATTTTTTTCAGCATCCACGGGAGGGGGGTTGTGGTTGGTGAGAGAGGAGATGCAGGGTACTGAAGAGTCATAGAATAATGAGGTTGAAAGGAGCCTATAAGGCCATCAAGTCCAACGAGGAGAGCAGACAGAGAATACTGAGGGAAAGAAAAATGGACAGTCATAGGCAAGTGAAAGAAAAGGAAGAAGAGGAGGAGGTACAGTGGTGAATCCGTTCCAGAAGATGGATGTAACTCGAAATGGTCATAAGTTGAAGCACCATTTCCCATTGAAATGAATTGGAACGTGATTAATCCGTTCCAGCAAACAAAGAAAAAAGCACACAGCAAGCCCGGTTAGAAGGCACTGGGGCTTTAAAACAACAACAACCAAAAATAAACAGCAAAGCAAGCTCCATTGTTGGGGCTTTAAAAAACCCCATCAAAAATAAACAGCAAAGCAAGCTCGGTCACTGGGGCTTAAAAAAAAAACCCAAACCAAAAATAAACAGCTAAGCAAACTCCAAAGGCACTGGGGCTGCAAAAAAAATCACCCAAAAAACAAAACAACACAACACAGAAACATACCCCCCCAGCCCAAAACCACACTACAAAACCCACCCAGAACAGCTTTTAAAAAGCAGGAAACAGCACCTTACCTTACCAAGCCGCCTCCTCCGATCATACACTCTCTAACTGCTGGGGCGAAAGAGCTACAAAGAAACAGCCTCGCCGCCACCTACAGTTCAGAATTTGAATTTCCCACCTTTTCCCCCTGCCTTTTTCTGTTTGTAAGTGGAAGCTCCAGTCGCAAGTAGAAGCAAAATTTTGCAGCCAGAACTGGTTGTACAGTGGTGCCTCGCTTAACGATGTTAATTCATTCCAGTGAAATCACTGTAGAGCGAAAATGTCGTAAAGTGAAATTTAAAAGCCCATTGAAACGCATTGAAAACCCCTCAATGCATTCCAATGGGCTGAAAACTCACCATCCAGCGAAGATCCTCCATAGGGGTGGCCATTTTCGCTGCCTATAAAGTGAGGAATCCATCCAAAAACACAGCAGGGAGCCATTTTAAGCAGCCGGCGGCCATTTTGAAACCCGACAATCAGCTGTTTTTGATCGTCGTAAAGCGAAAATTGGTTCCCGAAGCAGGGAACCGATCATCGCACAGTGAAAAAAACCCATTTAAAACGTCATTTTGCAATCGCAAAAGTGATCACAAAAACCTAATCATCAAGGGATTTTGTCTTAGAGTGGGGCAATCATTAAGCGAGGCACCACTGTAACTCGAAATGGTCGTAAGTAAGGACGTTCGTACGTCAAGGCACCAATGTATTGTGAAACAATTGAGAAATGTGTGTATATGTGAACATACATAAAATATAAGACTGACAGTGTCTGCTACTTACATCTCCCCCTTCCCCCCTCCCTCTTCTCTTTTCCTCCATCCGCTCTGAAATTAGTTGGTGCTATCTCGCTTTCTTTTTCTTTTTTCTTTTTTAAGGGTTTTTGTTATCAGTTTCAATATTTCTATTTTCATTTATGTTTTCTATTTTATGAGATTGTAACCCACCCAGAGTAGTGCTGCAATACTAATGGGAGCGGAATACGAATTGAATAAATAAATAAATATAAATAAATAAATCTTGTGTTTGGAGCCTGGAGAGGAGAAACTGAAATACACTGCCTGGGATCCTAGTGGGCAAATGCATTGTGTGGTGCTATTATGTACAGTACTGTCAAATCACATCTGACTTATTACAACCCTAGTAGGGTTTTCAAGATACGTGAGATATTTAAGGAGAGGTTTTATCACTGTCATCCTGCAATGAGTTGTCACAGCTGGGCAGGGATTTGAACCCATGTCTCCGCAGTCCTGTCTGTCACTCTACCCATTACCCTGCACTAGTTCTTATTGTGAAGGTGGCCTTGAAGAAAAATGCATTTGTTTTTAATAAAGCTGAGTTCCACCATTTCCCTTTTGTGGTCTGGATTCCTCTTCCTAGGTACACAGTCTATTAAACCTGGCAGCCTCTCACCAGCATCAATGTGTTTAGAACATTTTCACCAACTCAGCAGCCATCTCATCATTTTTGAGAATTACCCTTTCCGTGTGCTTCACATGCTTTCATTTTGTCCTTTTGTTTTCCAGGATGCTATGTAAGTGAATGTAATTTTTCCATTTATAGAAATCCTGTTGGTTGAGTCTAGGGTCCAGTTACCATTTAGCTATTGCCATAAAAGTAGTCTCCTCTTAGTCTCTCTCTCTCTCCTTCCTTCAGGAAAACCAAGAGGATAGGGAAGAAAGCTGTTTGGAAAAATAGATCAGATTGATTTTATAGACAGATATAGCACTTAAGTCATATTAGCAATGCCAACATCAGAATAGTCTGTTTTTTGAAGCAAGGGCCAACATAAATAGTGGTTATTCTTAGGTTTTGTTCAGAAATAAATGGACATACAGTATTTACTGTTTTATTCTTTAATAATAACAACTGGCAGTACAGCAGGGTAGTTTAAAGGTGTTTTCAAAAAACAATGAAATACCAGCAAAAAGGTATTTAGTAGTCAATTATAATATAATGAGTTTATTGGTTTTTCTTTCTCGCCAGAAGCAGTACAATTGATAAATATGTAAAATTATTTTTGCCCAATAACCGGCAGCATCAAGAGCATCTGGGGCAGATACCATCAAATCTTACATAGGACAGGTTGATGGGCATGAATTACACTTGCATAAGTGTGAAATTCCTTGTTCTTCTCTGTACTTTCAAAGGACTACATTGGTGCAAAAGCTCCATTTTCTTAGGCTCACTTTGGTTGTGCCGACTCCACTTTATAGTCTATTAAGTGACTTCCAAGTAAACAATCTCTCCATGCGACCAGGGAGTAGATTTTTCTCAGGTTCCTTCCATTTTCAGAGGCGGCTAGTTCTTTCTTTCGACATTATAGTCCTGGCATTCCCTGTTGTTCCTTCAAGATTCACAGTTAATCTGAAAAAAAAAACTTTCCTTGATTTTCTTCTGGGAGGGACTAGGTGGAAGCTTGAGAATGGAGGGGCCTTTGATGTAGATGCTGTGAGTCTTTCACTATCAGTTGTAACTTTTCTCTGCATCCGTAGTTTTAGAAGAGGTAGCCATGTTAGTCTGTGCTACCATGTTAGGCAAAAATGAAACAAAAATAAAAAATAAAGACTAAAAACATTGTGACATCTTAAAGACTATCTGCTATATTTTAATGTGAGCTTTCGTGAACAAGTTCACTTCTTGAGACATAGTCTATTAGTCTTTAAGGTACCACAATGGGTTTTCCCCCCAACATTTTATAATAGAGGTATCACCTCCTCCTTGCCTTTAGATTGTGTACAAGAACCACACAGCTTCTTTTCTTGTGTTCAACTATGAAAGATAACCTGAACAGCTGCCCAGGGTACCATCTGTAACCAAGAAGGAACACTGATTTAACGTCAGCCAAGCAAGACTGCAAAATCCTCCTCAAACCAATACAACAAAAATCATCCTCCAAATATACTATAAATTTGGTTGCAATTGGCATCGCCTTCTGGGTAAATAAAATTTTATCCCAACTTCTTTGATGGGCCCTTGCTGTATTTCTGTGTCTTTTCTTCCCAGCAGAAGAATATGATCTTTGGTTTCAAGGTAAGGCAGTTGAGGTGTGTGTGCTGAGTAGCTGGCAGCCTTTTGTCTGGTGACTTTCAGATAATTAGATTAACATTGCCAGAGGTGGAATTTAAAGTCAACATTCCTTGCTTTACTTTGCAGCTCACATTTTGAAACTGGCATAAAATCTGGCCATGATTTTTTGAACTCCTACATTTTTATTGCACCATCCACAGGTAAGTGGCGCTTAGCCTGGTGAAGGCCTGTATAGGCCGAAAGCTAGCATATATTTGTGATTTTGTGTGTGTGTGGTTTAATGGAGGTACCACCCCCTCTTTACCCTTATCAGTAGAGGTTGGCTTCAGGCACCCCATAATGATTTCACATCTTTCATTGAGTGCTACTGCGTCTACCTGTTTTGCATGGGCTGAACTACACCCCACTAAGCCGGCCCCTCTGCCTGCAGAGCAGGATAGGGCCAAGTCCGTAGTTCTCTATGTTTGTGTTTCTGTGTCCCAACTGCTTTTGAAGAACGTTGCTCCTTGTGGCACCCTTTAGCTCTTCGTTTTGACAGCATTTCTAATCAGTCAGTGTACCATTCAAAGTAACACCTAAGTACTTAGGGGAAAACAATGATCTAGTTGGATGCCTTCCCGGGCAACCCAAATTTTCAGAAAAAGAAAGCAAGGTGATTTGCAAACTATGGTGAAAATTGTGGGAGTATCAAATGGCCTTTAACACAAAAGGAATTTGTCTTTTTATAAGCATCTAATTTAGCTCTGGGAAAGGACATCTAATATTTCTTATTTTTGGCCACCATTCTAATTTATTTTGTATCAACCTATGTGCTAAATATTGAAACTGAATGTAGCACATTGTTTAATAGCACACCGTTATGAAACCCTGCATTGTAAAATGTTCTTGCTTTCTCTCTGCTCTCCCCCTCAAAATGATTGTCCTGCAGTTAATACTTTCTCTAGTTTGTTGCCAAAGTGTGTAACTGACTGGAATTTTATTAATAGTCTTGGGGGGGAAAGGAGAGAGAGTGTGTCTGTTCAAAAATTAGTGTCTTAATTTATGAACTGAAAACACTATTATCATCCTTACACTGATATATTAGAATGACCATTCTTGCTCTTGGGAGTTGTTTTTAAAACTGTCCCTTGTGGTTAAATAACGCAATAATAGCCAGTAATTCCCAACCTGAAAGGGCAATAAAGCAGTGGTAGCAAATTTATAACTCTTCTGTTCTGTGAACATAGAAGACATAGCTGGTCTCCTCTTACTTTGTTTAGAGTTCAGATGACAGGAAAGAAAAGGATTGGTGAAAATTAGAATTATTGAATTTCAGTATAGGCACAGCAAAATATTATTCCCCACAAGATAGTCTTGATCCTGACAGTGTACCATGGCTTCTATGTAACACCAAATTTTAAAGGTACCTCCACCCCAGCCCCAGTTAGGATCTCTCAGTGGGAGCAACTGTAATTCTAGCTAACCCAGTGTTCTCACAAAGTGAGAAACTGATTTATATATGAAGACTGCATGTCACATGGACAGACCCCATTGCTTTAAAAGCAATAAATCATCATAATCATTGTCACCATCTTAGAACTGCAGGACTGGAAGGGACCCTATGGATCATCAAGTCCAGCCTCTTTCAAGGAATCACGGTGAGAAATCAAACTCCCAGCTTCTGGCTCCACTTTTTTTATCCTAACCTATGTAATATATTGGGACAAAAAAAATGCTCCAGGCCATTTTGGGGGGAAACTATGATACAGAGAAGCTAAAGAGAAGTGCTCTCCTCTGGTGCCATCAGTGGCTTTACCTCACCAGAAATAGGTTTTTTTTTACTGGGGGAGGAGAGGTCCGACAATATAAGCGGTGTAGCCCTACCTGCACCACCATAGCATACCTGTAAGTGTATTTTATTGCTCCGGCTGTGGCCCTGGGTATTTGGGTAATACTTGGTTGTGAAAAAAAATTAAATGTTGCAAAACTTTTTTCTACTCTGCAATATCTTGGAATTCTCAATCAGTCTGGAAAATGTTCCGCAACACAAGCAGTGTAGTCTGATTCAGACACAATTCAAGTGTGTTGCTTTGCCAAGCAAGGCGCAGCCTCACCCTGCACTTGTCATTTCTGCCACCCACCTATGCATGGAGCGTACCTTTCTCAATCAGAGAGTCTCCAGTATCCCTGGAGACTTATTCTCCGTGGTCCTAACTCCTGTGGAAAGATTCTACAGCCAGCAAAAGCTCCCCAGGCCCATTCTAGATGCTCTCTGGCCCTGTCACAAAGGGCAATGGAACCAGGGGTAGAGAGGGGACAGGTTTAGTTACTGCCCTTCATGAGTTAGAATGGGACATTTTAGTTCCCTCTGTCATGCGTTGTTGTAGAATCCACACAGAACAAAACCAGGGAGGCATTCAGTGACATCTATGACTGTGCAGTTGTCGACAGTGTCTCCAAATCCCAGCCACTTGCCAAGTTCTTTTTTTTCTCTTGTGCAAATAATAAAAAAGCAGGGTCAAATAGAATAATAAAAAACAAAACCAATGGATGTGTTGATTTTTGCCACTAGGGTATTATTTTGTTCCTGCCAATGTAACATATGGGAAGCAACGCAACAGTTACAATGATTTGTTAGCTACTTTGGAGGCCTTCAGGTAGTAAAGGTGACTTATACTTTTTTAGAAACGAAAACACAAACAAACAAACAGAATATGCACTCTTCCTTCCTTCCTTCCTTCCTTCCTTCCTTCCTTCCTTCCTTTTTTTTGAGTAACAATATGATTTATGTTTTTTCAACTTCTTAACATTTTATTTAATATTGTATATTTATTTTAAATTAAGCCACTTGATTCTAAAACAATCATTAAGAATGCCAGATTCCAGAATGAATCTGCAATGAGAGTAGAACACTACACATTATATCAATGATTCAAGAACTGATGTGCTAAATATATAGTGCAAGGAGAAATAGCTATATTTATATACTATTTCAAAAAGTCATTTGAACAGAGAAATGAACATCATCTGTTTAGATCAAGCTGAATAAACAGAAAGAAGAAGAATTTTCATTTGTTTTATCATTCTCAGAACTGTCAAACAAGGCCATCTTTCAATAAACCAATTGTTCTGATGATAATTCAATTCACTTTAAAAATAGGTATATTTAAACACTAGGGTCACTTTCCACATCTTTCTTAGCCAAACTATCATAAGGCAATTTTTTTTCCAGAACTGGGAAATACATGCTTTTGCAGCTGTAAATAGTAATCATTTGTATGTCAACATTCTCTACCACATTTTTCAACAAACACAGTAGTATATTCTTCAGACTTCCTGGCTGGTAATACCCTGTGATCATTTTTATTGTCAGAAACACTAGTCTCCCCAATTTTTATTTTCTTATATTCCCAGAAAATAACAGAGGTAGATAGCCTTGGAGTTTTTACATCTCCAACATAACACTTTATGGTATTTTTGTCAGTTTACATGGAATTAAATGTCACTGCAAAACTGATTTTTACAAGTTTTCTTAATGATTTACCTTTATTAATAGTGCTGGGGTCATTTCAAAATGCTATTTCCACTCTGTTAGTTGTACTGAAATCATGTATTTAAACTTGCCTTGGCAGTTGAAATGTAGGAAGATAACTCTAAATCTGCAAGTAAAAAAGCAGTTTACTAACTTTTTCTACAGAACAGATGCATCATTTCTATACGTTTTGGTAGGAATCTGTCATCTGCAGTTAAATGCCTTTCTATTTATTAATCTCCAAGTAACCAGACTCTACACTTAGAAAAGAGATTCCTGACCTTTTTTACATGATGTTTTAATTTTTTAATAAATAGTCACACTATATATATATATATACAATATCCCCAAGCCGAGCTAGTTAAAGAGAATGTATCTCAGCTTTACAGCTGCAACCAACTAGCTTTCAATAACAATTATATATTACATGTTAACTCTTACTTCCCACTTATAAACATCTTCCCTAACTCATCACTTTGTGGTGTAAGCTTCTTGTGCTCCCTTCGAAACTGTCTCCACCTTCAGCCAAGCTTCCCTCCAGGAAGAGTACAGTACTTGTTCTGCTTTTCTTCCAACAGGCCACATCTTCTGTCCAGAGGAGCTGTGCCTTTTCTTGCTAGCAACATGTGTCTTGTAAGTCCTGTGCCAGTCATGTCACAATGCTGGGGCTCTGGTTGCCATGGGGGCAGAGGAAATATAAATGAAGCTCCAGAGGGCTTTAGGCTGCCTTTGCAAGCAGGCCTTCACTGGGTGTGGTTGAATTCAAGAAGGGTTCCCCTGTCTGAGGGAAAAGTTGGTCCTCATACTTGGCTTCAGGTAAGATGTAGATATACCTGACGAGGCAGGGTTAGGCAGAGCTTTCGGAGAGGACAGAAAATGAGGTGAATTTGCTTGAACATATGTAGACTGGTAGTGGGACATCAAAGAGTGAACCAGACCTTGATGGATCTGGCTTCTGAGTGAGGGAAGAAAAGGAAAGAGTTTCAAAGGAATTCTCCCCTTTTAACTTTTTGCTTGTTTAATTATTTTCAGATGAAAGTTGTAATGAAATAATCAGAGCGAACCAACAAAAGTTGTTCCTCAGGTGTATAACAGCACAGGCCACAGTGCAATGTGTGGGGTAGGCAGATGCAATTTAATTTAAACGCAGCTTAGAAAAGTTATTTGCTTAAACCACAACTCCCAGAATGATCTAACCAACCACTCTCTGTCTAAATGGCAGCATCAAATGGGCAGCTTGAGGTGGAAAGAGAGAAAAGGGGAAAGGATTTTAGAGAAAGAGACATGTAGGAAGGAGAGCCTAATCTTCACTGGACTGGCCATGCTCTTCCTCACCTCAGTGCTCTTTCAGATCAGCACTATATCTCCTGCAAAATATTAAAACAAAAGAAAAAAAGAAAAGGAATGTCTACTTATAGACCACAGGTACAGTGCTGCTTTTGTACATGCTATGAAAAAATTAGATTAACTCTTGTCTGTATCAGCTGTTTGCAACTGAATTGGCAGTGATGACTGCTGTGAAAAGCTAGTGGAAAGTGCAGGGAAGAGGCAGAGGATAGAGAGGAGGAAGGAGGCTTTGTGAAGTCTGGCAGAAATATAACTGATTTGACTGTCTTTTGTCGACACTTGAATCACTCCTTCCAAGATAGTGAATCATTGAATCATTTCCATGGGAAGTGCAGGCTGAACTAAGACAAACTGTGGTGGTGCAATATGCAGAAGTTCACATCAGTCCAGAACCACCTGCCATGAGATCATGACCTTGATCCCTAAAAAGTTCCAGATGAGACAAACTTCCAAGATCTCAGAAATTATTGCCTGGCAAAAATGGTATAAAACTTGGTGTTGAGACAAATTGTCCACACATTGGGCCAGATGTTATGCCCTTAGCTCATGAGGCCAGACTGTCAAAAGAGAAACACCCTGGAGTTTGATTCCACATGAGACACATGACAAAGGTGCCGACTGCTACTTCCTCCTTCCTCTGCAGACAAAAGGCTGTTGTCCTCCTTTATTTTCAGATACAGGTATGGATTCCTATATAAGTCATCAGTGAAAGAGGGGCATTATTTACAATTGACACCATGCCTGCTATCTTTGTGTGCTAAGGCACCCTTTGTGAGTGGGAAACACATGGAATGTTTTCAGAAGTGATTTTGTAACAGTGAAGTGACAAGAGACTCTAGAAGAACCTAAGGTGTAACTCTTTAGTGCCTGGAATTGCTGGAGGGATAGCTAATAGAAGTACTGCAAATAATGAATGTCATAAGAAGGTTTGGGAGTTGTGGTTAATGAATGCATGTTGAGTCAGGATTTCAGAACCTATACATATCCTTCTGAAAACAGTTGTAAATGCCTCTCTGAACTTTAGAAACCCTAAAACTTTTGGATTTGTCTATCTTCTTACTCCCTTGCTGGATTTGCATTGCTGTGAAAACACTTGAGAGATGCACATGTACACTCACCGGCAACTATAAATTTTGAGAGATGCTGTATAGCACATGTACACTCACCGGCAACTATAAATATGCTAACGCTCAATGCATGTACTCTTCCCTCATACTATTGTTTCTGTTCATGGTACTGAGCTTCCAGTCAACATAAACAGCTAGGTACCTGGCTGTGGAGCCAGAGGCTGGGAGTTCGATTCCCCACTGTAGCTCCTTGATAGCAACTAGACTCAATCATCCACAGGGTCCCTTCCAGCTCTGCAGTTCTAGGATGATGATGATGGTGGTAATGACAATGATGATTAAATGTGGATGTGAAAATATATTCCATTTCTTGGCATCTAGTTCTCTTTCGTGTACCTGGTAATGACAATGGTGATTAAATGTGGTTGTGAAAATATATTCCAGTTCTTGGCATCTAGTTCTCTTTCGTGTACCATGACTTAGGGCAGAAACAGATGCTGCCCAGAGCCTGTAAGCATAAGAAGGAGTAAAAGATTTGTTTTAGTTTGAGCTTTCATGGATCAAGACCAGAGATGGCCACAAAGCTCCGGTTCAGCAGTCCATGGCAATTTGTTTATTGGCCAAACAGGTGTTTGGCATTTCCCAGCCCCGCCTCTTTTGGCGGGTGCCCACTCAGAGGCAGTGCCTAGAGCAGGCAGGGCAGAGAAGCTGGGGTGCTGCCTCTGAATGGGCACCTGCTGGAGAAGGCGGGTCTAGGAAGTGCCGAACACCTGTCTGGCCAATAAAAAAAACCCTGCATGAACCACCGAACCAGCAGTTTGTACCCATATCTACTCAAGATCCACTTCTTGAGAAAGAAGACTGCCTCTTTGACATCTAAAACATACTATTGCATAGAATAAACTATTGACATAGTTTGGCCAACCAATCTTGTTCCCATAGCCTATCTATGCCTTCCCAACAGCCATTACCGTATTTTTCGCACCATAAGACGCAGTTTTTTCCCACAAAACAGGGGGTGGAAAGTTTGAGTCTTATGGAGCGAAGAAAACAGATTATATTTTCCTGTTTTCTTCTCCTAAAAAATTGGTGCGTCTTATGGAAAGGTGTGTCTTATGGAGCGAAAAATACGGTACTTAGCTTTACCTCTTTTTTCTTTTTCCCCATCTTGGATTCTAGTAGTAAAATTGGGCCTCATTTTTTTAATGCATTTATGTTTTCATTTATTATATTTGTATCTTTGGTTTTTGTATTTTGTGCCAACCACCCAGAGTAGACATGTTCTAGATGGCTGGTGTATAAGTCTAAAAATATAAATAAAAATAATAAATTATTCTCCCTCCTCTCTTTTCTCTCTCCAAATATAGAAAACTTATGCATGAAATACCAGCACTGATTTAGCATTGGAGGAAATGCCTAATTAAAAGATGGTTGCCAAGGGTATAGCACTCAGTTAATCTGGACTCCAAGATCCTTTCAATTAAAAGACAGTTCCTTTGCAATGTTAATAGAAGGCAGTAATCTTACTCACTTTTCAGTCTGAAGCAAAACTGAACTGATGGCCCCATTTCCTGAAGTCAGAGAGAAGGTCACAAAGATCATTACCTTGGAAGCTAACACTGGCTAATCTTTTACATGTCAGTGAGCAATCAGTTAGAATTAACCTTGAGAGAATAGCCCAGTACTATGATTTTTCTAAATACTCCCTTCTTTGTCCATAGTCTTCTGAAACCCATTCTGGAAAATAAAATCATTTCTCAATGAAAAGAAGGGAAACAATGTTCTCAGCTATTAGGAACATTTCCTTGAGATCCTGAAATACCTGCTTTCTTAAAGAAACAGAAGTGTATTGAGCATAATTAACCTTCTCTATCAGTTGAACCAAATTGCAGTTCATGAACCAAACTTTGATCCGGCCATTCTCAGTCTACTCAGTTCTCCTTTCCACTGAAGGGAACCTGAGTGCCATGAAGAGCTCAGGAAGGCAATCACAATCATGAAAGAGAGCTTACCCACTCTGCTAGAGTTTATTGAAGGAAGAAAGTTTATGAGGAGAGGATAATTAAAGTAGTTTGAAAAAACAACTGAATATCAGACAGTGGTCTTAAATCATTACTAGGTATGAAACGCCACACTGACTCACAATTTGCAACCTGGGTCTACTAACCAACCACCATCTCCTTGTTTTGGTACCACGTACAAATGTATAAGTATCTGTAATGTAAGCTCATTCTTGAAACCTTGGAAAGCTTTGCTGTAAGTCAGAATAGATTTGAAGCTCATAATTATTGTAGGGTAGTGTGGAATCCCTTTTGTTTCTGATCATGGGGTTTTCTTGGCAAAGATACTGGAGTGGAAATGCCGGTTCCTACTCCAGGTGGATTGCGTTTAGTCGGAACCCTCCACTATGACCTGTCCATCTTGGGTGGCCCTGCACGGCATAGCCCATAGCTTCTCTGAGTTGCTCAAGCCCCTTCGCCACGACAAGGCAGCAATCCATGAAAGGGTGGCTCCCCGTCGGGGAATCGAACCCCGGTCTCCCGCGTGACAGGCGCGGATACGCACCACTATACTAACGAAGAGTCGGACACGACTAAACAACGACGACGAGTGTGGAATCCCAATGCACATAAACTTACATTAAAATATAGCAGATAATTTTAAAGATGCCACTATGTCTTTGTCTTATTTATTTATTTATTTATTTATTTAGTTGGTTAGTTGGTTAGTTGGTTAGTTGGTTAGTTGGTTAGTTGGTTAGTTTTGTTTCTAGTCTGAAAGAGAGGAAACACTGAGTCACTAGGGGAGTCTAGCCAAAGGCTCACAACTGCCTCCTACTGGTAATTATGGGAAGTACAGATTGTGAAGGAAATGGAGGAGACTGTAAATTGCTTGGTTCTTGCAATTTGCTGCCTACACTTGCTTGGAACTTCTGTGATCAAGTAGAACTGTCAATATCTATCTTGCTGTAACACATGTGTACAAGAAACCAATCAGATATACATAAATAATTTGTTCTTAGTATTTTGTGAAGCATCAAACTCCCAGGTTAGTCCCTTATTTGAACTCTTGGTATCTTGTAACTATCTCATAGTTTAATCATCTTCCAACTTGAAGTTTGAGTCCCTCTGTTCTGCTTTCCTCATTGCTAAACTGAAGCAGCAGTGTCTTTATCCTAGAATTACAATTGGGCTTTTATTTCTGA